TGGAGGCGATCGCTAGTAGGTTGGAGGCCATTGTTCTTAGGTTGGAGACCATCGCTAATAGTAAAGGCAACAAAAACTCAGTGAAGACGACTTGCGGCTGTGCATATCACCACCGCATGATGCAAAGCATTGACACCGAGAAACCTTCTACAATGCACAATGCATGTTGCGCTTGCCCGTATTGCCAATTAGCTTTGTGCTCAGAAGTTCGCTATCAACAATATGAACATGTCATGTCGTGCTCTCTTCACTGTGCAAATTGCGCGACAAGCGTCAACAGCTCACCTCTTGCTGGGGGCTGAGCGCGTGGGTGGCTCCTGAAGCCAATTCTCCAACACTTTGAACGCCTTGACTTTCAGCTTTGACTTAGAACAAATTTGGCAAAACTCTTGATTTGTCATGAGGTCCGTCTTTGCTTTGAAGAAAGAGGAAGGGTATCTTTAGCATCTTCGCTTAAAAAAGATCCAACACTTATTTCTTTGGGAACCAGCGGGTCCTCGTCCGGCTCTGCTGGCAACTCGGCCGCACTCCACTCCACCTAGGCCAGCCCAAGTTTACTGAACCAAAACACTATAAGACGAAGATGACAGGTTGTAGGAGTGTGAAAACATGCAGTTTCTGTTTGGTTTGGCTGCTTGGTTCTGGCCTTAATAGATAGGCTGGAGGTTGTTGGGCAAATGCGTAGAGGCTCCGCCCAAAAGAACACCAATTCACAACAAGCTGTTCTCTTCAATCGAACATCTTACTTTTTCCGCACAATGCAAAAGAATAGGCCCACTCCGCCAGGAAAAGCGAAGGCACCAACCAAAGAAACCATTGAGCACCAAGAAGGTTAAAGGACCAACTCGGAACCATTCACATCCAAAAAGCACAGGGAACCAGCAGCCCAGCGGAGCAGGGGAGGCGAGGACTAGGAGACCCGAGGACAAGGACCAGAGGGGAGCAAAGGACCAGCGGACTAGAGGACCAGGGAACCCAAAATCGTTTTTGATTCGGCACATATACATTGCCTTTTTAATATGTGTTTTGATACACTCAATACTTTTTTGATACACATGTCGTGCCTGGGTGCCATAGTACTTCAGAATGCCTTCCACCAGCTCTATCCGGGCTGCCTGCAATGATAGAAACAATCGGGGAATGGCAGCAGAGCGCAGCAAAGCAATCCTCTTCGTGAGGATGTTTGGCCCACAAAGGGTCACCTGAACAATTTCTTCCAATGACTCATGACCCTTTGCAGCGAATTGGACTGACTCTGAGATGTAAACAAAGAGGAAACCAAGGATGTAAATGAACAAACAAACAAACAAACATGCTGTCTTCAAGACGGACAATGACGACGTATCAAGACCATACGACATCATACAGCCCGCTTCTCTGAATGTCACCTCCACGGCTGGCGCAGGCCCAGCGATGTCGACAGCCAGCCTCAGAGAGAAAAGAGAGAAAGAAGAAACCGCAATGACCTCCAACCTAAGACCGATGGCCTCCAACCGAATAGCAATGATTTCAAGCACGTTTTCGGCCATACAATGCTCTCTCACGCATTTTCTCATACATGCACCGAACAACCATTTCAGTCCTCAGACTTCTCCTGAGGCTCCTTTGGTCAGGACTTTCAAAACAAAAACATCCAAGTTGCAAACTCAATCACCTTTGCATACTCAATCACCTTTGCACGTCACCCCCATTACAACACATGAGATGTACTTTTAAATGGGTGATGTCAAGAAATGAGCATCCTGAATGTCGCATGTTCTTCAATATCAAATGTTTCTAGAAGGTTTTCAGCAAAGTGCCCAAGATGTTAAGGGTCTTGATGTTGATGTCATTAAAGAACTGGAATATATAGAGAAGGACAAAACAAAGAAGTAAACAAACACTACACCGTGATAGACCCCAAATAGCAACTACCTCTAAAAGCAGCAGCAACAAAGACAACAATTCAAGTATTTCACAAAGAAACAAGAGAAGTGGGGAGGCAAGTAAAAGGAGACAGGGCAGCAGCGGCAAACAACACGCCGATCACACAGGCAGGGAGAGAAGTAAGGAAACAAGGCAGGAGCAGCAAACAAAACAAGTGGGGAAACAAGGCAGCACTGGGAGTGGCGGTGGAGTGATGGTGGACCAACACGCCGATCGGCCGCGCAGGAACCCCTTTAGCTTTTAGATGCTTTTGGCTATCATCTGTGGAATAACCCAAAAGGACACCTCAAAATACTCTGAAGATATTATCAAATGCTAGGGCCACCTCAAAACATCCTAATAGGGTTTCCAACAATGACTTTTCAAATCCTGTGACAGTTGATACTGGGCGCTCGACCCGGTGGGCAAACCGTGTTTCCTTCAAAATCGACACTTGCTTGACAACAGTTCTTGACAACAGTTCTCCACTATTATGTTTATCTTTTTTCGAACACACATACTTTCAAACCACCCGACACCTGGTCACAAACACTCACAGAAACGGGGTTTCTCTTGATTTAAGGAGGGAGTGCTTGAGATTAGCGTCTGCCCGCACATGTGTCTACCAGAGAATTTACCACAAAGTATGGTACCATTCCTGGTACCATCATTAGTGTCAGGGCATGGAAGCATATGGCTTTGTGATGCTTTTTTCATACGCCCTCAAAGAATATCGGAAGACACAATAAAACTTCAGGAACGTGCAAGTAGACTCAGTAGACTACTCCGAACTTCACCCACATGTCCTCGTTTCGGAGAGCTCGGCCACAGAAAGTCCAAATTTCTGTCTGAGGATCTGCAAGTCTCCCTGTCAGATGCTTCGACCAATGTTGCTCATCCATGCGCATCGATGCTCATCCATGCTCATCCAACATAATATCCCTCTCTATCTTTGGCCGGGGGCAATGTTGAGTGCTTGATTCATGTGGATGCGGATGGCGTCGCGTACAGGGTGGCACAAAGCCGCTCTTAGGTGAGCACACTCCAGGGACAAAGCACACCTCTGACCTAGAAGCGATGGCCTCCAATCTAAGAGCGATGGCCCCCAACCTAAGAGCGATGGCCTCCAAACCTACTCGGAAGCTCCACTGAAAGCGAGCATCAATATGGTCGGAACAGGAGTGCATATCCACATGACCCTCTCAAATTCCATTGCCTCTGTCGTAGGGTGTATGTTAATCTCGTGGCCAAAGCCACGTTCTGGAAACGATAGACTCTCTGGTGAAAATATTTGATGCATGTGAAACAGGTGCGTAGGGAATGTGCAAAGGCTGCGGAAGGTTTTTGCTGCAACGCAGTGTTTGCACAACAGTCTTGGATAGGCTTGGACAGGCAGAACGGTCTCAACCACTGAAATAGTGGTCGCCCTCTCCAGTACAATACAGTTCCAAGCCTGGACTCCACATTCTCCTAGGAGCAAGGACGCTACTAGGGGCTCCTGGCCTTACCAGCTAAGGGATGGAAAGAACAGGAACATCAGAAACAATCGCCACGGCAATGCCCTCGGCCATTGCAACACAGGAAGGCTTTAGAGCTGGAGAAAACTTCACATGGACCACCAGCGGACGTGACAACAAAGCACACAAGTCGGACAAGCCCTGGTACATCGAAACAAATCTGAAAGCGAAGTCGTCAGAAGGAGAACTATGGCACCGTCATGGCACAACACACAAATCAGTGCTCAAAGGATCAGAAAATAAAAAGGATCCTCGTCCAAGTAAAGGTGACACGTAAGCCATATATGACATCTCACCCCCCGAGCAAACTAGCTTGGAATGCAAAAATCCAATGAAAGCCTGACAAGCCAGCGAAAACGAATGGGGACAGTAGTGAACTGCCAATACCAAAGCAGGCTTGCCCATCCCCTACAAGTCCTCAGAATCGTCAAAGAGATTGGACAAGTGAAGATTTGGAAAAAAAAACAGACCACCAGCGATGGCCAACCACCAGCGGTGACTGAGTAGCGATGGCTTGTGCTTCACATCACATTGCGCTTCTCACCTCTTCACACTAGGAGCAAAGGGCATCGCTACTACGAGCAAGAAGCTACTGGGGGCTCCTGGCCTTACTACTAGGAACAATGTTTGCTACTAGGGGCTCCTGGCATCGCTACTAGGAGCAAGGGCATCGCTACTAGGAACAATGTTTGCTGCTAGTATCACCACAAATCACAACACGTCACTTTCTTCTCACATTGCACACCACCCCATCACTTTGCCAGCGAATCATTGCGGAAACTTCCCCCTGCCGGAGACTGCCTGCAATATGTTGGAAGTACATTATGGACTCTCTGCCACAAACACATGTCAGGGGTCTTGTGCCAGAAAATATCGCTTCTCTGTTGTGTGTGCCTTGATAGCCTTACAGTATTGATGTTGAGAGCTGGACATCATTGACATGTAGCTTGGGCAATCACTGAGAATCTATTGCTTGTAGGAAGACTCGAAACAAAAATCTCCTGTGACCTTTCACCTTTGGTTACCCAAAGCAACGAAGGTGCGAATGTTGGAGGCTGCGCCAGTTGTCAATTCCATCGCCCCTGGTTTTGCCAAGCTAGCCTCCAAATCTTGTCTTGCTAATTCAGAGAGGGACCGTAGCCAAGCGGGAGACGCGCTGAACTTCTCCTGGAGCATTCACTAGGGAGTGAGATTGAGTCATGAAGCGGTAAACACATGGCGCACTTGCATTGTGCACTTGGACCTAAAATGAACAACCACAAGCACTTCTCATAGGAGGCACCATCCAGTCTCAAACCAAACAGTCTGGGTTTGTCCCTTGGTCTGTCGCTCACCTGTGCACCTTCGTGTTCCACTGCAAAAGCTTCAGGCCTGCGGCTGAACCAACAATATTGCAATTCTCAATTCAATCTGAGCACTTGCAAACAATTTTTGCGGCAACACCGGAAACCATGGCAAACTGCAAGTGCCATTGATGCTCCTACCATCAAACCTGCGTTTTCGGACTTTTTGGTTCTTGACACGCATACATGATCACTCGGAATGACGGTGTCTCTCAAAAGTAAAAGCCTGGTGTGCTGCCGCGCATGCACATGACCACCAACCTCGCAGGGGAAAACTTACAATGGACCAAGAATGAACGACCCCCTAATCTGTCTTGAAGTGTCTGGATGCCCAATAAATCCTTCTTCGCAACAAACATGCCCTCATCACCTCCAATCACATTATTTTGAGGTGCCAAAATTGGGTCAAGTTGGGCTGGCATCAAGCCATGAATGAAGGACATGAGGGATATTTCGAACCAGCAAGGAAGCCAGCAAAACAAACACACCCTTTCATTTGCACTCCCTCATGACAAACACAAACGTGTCAAAGCTGTTTGGACAATGGCTGGGAACTCCCGAATTGAATTCAGCAAGAGCTTAATTGGACAACAACTACAGTAATTCGAACTAATGGATCAACTAGAAAGACCGTGTTAGGATACTGCTGCACTGGACCCCGGCTTTTGGTGTTGGAGGGTTGCTTGATATCACACACGAACACACAAACCTAAGCCTTCTTATTCGGCATCCTTGAATCAATGATGCAACGATGCCGGCATGCTACTGCTTGAAATTAGTAACAGGTGCCACGCTACTAGTAACAAGTGCCTTACTAGTAGTAACAGGTGCCTTACTAGTAGTAACAAGAAGCTATTAATTTATGAGCCTGGCATCAGTTGCAATGATTTCTCTTGCCCCTTGCACATCGGTCAAGTGCTGTTGCACGCATCTTTGCAAGCGCTCCTCATAGAGCTCCAGGTTGCCACAAGGTGGGGCCACCAGTCGTGCCTGGCTCACAAAGCACGGCCCGCAAAAGGCGTTCGAACGCTTTGGCATGACATTAACACGTCTCCGTGCTCACGATCTAAAGAGATGCCGCTGTTGAGCAAAACATAACCAAGCTTCTTCAGCTTATGAAGATTTTGGATGCAGGCCGCCCCCAAACCCAAACAGCACCGTCGACCAGTTTTGACCCTGAGCCTGTCAGGCCTATTCCCCGGCCAAAATTTACCCGCCTGAACCTGATTGTCACGCTTGATGTCGTAGTCTGCATCCGGCAAAAAGTTGTTTGCATCCTGAGAATTCTGACTTGAATTTAAGGTTGAGTGGGCAGAAATCTGTCAAAAGTTATGAGCCCCTGGAAGCAGCCTTCTCCAACGCCAAGCACTCTGCAACAATATACTAGGTATTGGTACGCCGGAGCGCAGGTCCTGTTTGCAACTGCTTGAAATTAGTAACAGGTGCCACGCTACTAGCAACAAGTGCCTTACTAGTAGTAACAGGTGCCTTACTAGTAGTAACAAGAAGCTATTGATTTATGAGTTCTTGACAACTTCCAATCTCTGTCCTTGCGCTGCTTCTGTTGAGCCACAGCAAACCTCAAAGCTAGAACCCAACGCAAGGCCAAATGGCTTTGCGGTCACATGGATCATTGACACCTATTGAGTCCAATTGAATTGCCTGACCGCTTCAGGCCTTCTTATTTTTGGAGCTTGGGCCAAACACACATCTTTCCCAGGGTATCTATCCATCTGGAGGGTGCAAACCTTGAAACTAGTGGTGCTGTGAGAGTGATGTCCCAGGGAAATTGACTTCTAGTAGCCATGCTCTGCTGCCTTCGGTCCTTTCATGCATTGAACGCACTTTACTTCAGTGAATGACTGAATGTGGTTCGGCATACGACTCAGGCAACAGCATGAGCTTATTGTAAGCGTTGCTCGCAATGTCTGCAGTCTCCTAGCAAAGATTCGGTGAACAGAAATAAAGAAGGTGTGGATGGCATCGGGTCAAGAAGCGGCTGAAAGAGCTTCAATAATATGTTGAAGCTTGAAGCTGTGTTCTCCAAATGTCGAAGTGAGACATTCTGACCCATAGAGCTTTAAGTACTGAATCTGATCCAAACCATAAGGCTTCTATTGAAGACCTTCTTTCTGTGCTGCCACCGAGAATTATTTCCTGGCACCAACAACTTCATGGCATCTGATCTAGTCTTGGTATTGACAAGAAAGAACATCCCAGTCTCACATGCAAGTGCGCTCGAATACGGAGTGCCCGCCTGCTCTGGGGATGCCAACAGCTCATCCATGGCCATCCGGAAGTCATTCAAAAGTGACCTCAGTTTTGTTTATCTCTGGTCGTGGCAGTGGGTGGTGGCGGTAAGATACACATCAAAATAGAATTGCCTAAAATTGCATTGATTCGTTGAACAATTTGGGTTGCAGCGCAAATGCCGCACTGATCCCTCACAGAAAAAGCTCTTATATAATCAAACCAATCAAACTGGTGCATTTTTGGCCTGGCGCTTAGAGCCTTAAATCATCTTAAATCATTTGCACAGTTCGCTTGAAGAACTTTCAGTGAATCACACATTACATTCAATGCAATGGACACAACTCCGCAATCGGCAGCCTTAAAGGCTTTAAGAAATCAACCGGTGCTGGCAGCAAGGCTGTCGCCCACGACAAAAGACAGTGCTCTTCGTGCTAGTGCTAGTGTGACAAGTATGAACGCAATAACTTGCTCACCATTCATATGACTACAGTTCTGATGAGTTCCGAATCTACGATGACAGAGCAGCAAAAGCAGAATGGTTCCGTGGGGTGCAGCTGGTATTGTAATACTTCGAAGAGCAGAAAGGGTAAACACAATGATCAAACAATTCCTGCGCCTGGGTCAGAGCAGCCACAGAAAAACTGGTCTTCACACCAAAAGCCTTTAAACGAAAAGGGAGACCTGCAAGCGGCAGCTAAATACCCGATTGCGATTCATTGCTATAACCTTGCAACGCTGTCAATTTTGTCAAACTGTTTATCTTCCGTCTGATTATTTTTTACAGGATCTTAGACAGATCGCACACGGTCCAACGCCAGTTGTGCTCATCTTCACTTGTCCCTGCACATCCTTGGTGGCAGGCATCTCTGCAGGACTCCACCAACCTGGCGAAAAGGAGAGGACCATAGGCCGTGCCTCAGGCAAGTTTCGTCGGGAAACGATCAACCCACACAAAAGAATTCATTTCAACCTAAAAGCGATGGCCTCCACCTAGTAGCGATGGCCTCCAACCTACTAGCGACCCTATAGTACAAAAGAACTCATTTCAATGAAAACAGCACAGTTGCAAAGAACAATAACATAGTGTACACAACAGGTATCTTTCTATGTGGATCTTCAGCCACTTGGGTTTGCTGCATGTTTTCAACTGATTGGACGTCGGTTTTTGCAAGCCAATCGTTCTGCAAACAAACATTTCCCATGTCAAAACATCACTGTTGCTGCGCTCTGAGAGAGGTCGTGGACTGGCAGCGCGCTCCTTTTCGCATCAACCGATTGAGCTTGAAGACACAGACTCTGAATCAGAAGAGCCGCTCTCCTGATGCCACAAAGGAGGAAACAATTGAACACAATTCCTAAAGCAGCTCCTTGCAGCACTCAATCATTCTCAATCAAATTGTGTATAAAGACTGTTTCAGAGAAAATACGTTTTGATGAAACAACAGGATTTATGTTTAACTCACCGTCTTCGCCCATTACCCCCGTCCCCCCGGTTCAATCACTGATACTCACATCCTCCTCCTCCTCATCATCATCCCAACGCCCACTCCGTAGCACTCCGACCCGGAACAGTCAAAGTACCAACCGAAAATCGTGTGTAACTAATTCACACTCAATCACAAGCACTCAACTTCACCAACACACAAACACACTACTGCAAATCACAAGCAGCACCATCGCCATGCTCAATTTACCAGTGGTACTTGCACTACATTTTTATGGGTTGGATGATGTGCACATTGCACTACCACCTCAGTTGCCCCCATGTTGGTTAGACGCATGGTCCGCTCTGTGCTGTAATTCGCATGGAGTCGCTGACAGCTTGATCATTGAGCCGTAAAGCACTTTGAGTTCGTACTGTTACCTAAATGATCTTAAACGGTAATGTCTCACCGTCAAAAACTCTCCATCAGATCGTCGAAGCGGGTACCCAAAGCCTTCGACCCCAAAGCCCCACTTACATTGTTATTTGTAGGAAGTTGACATGAATTGAGTGCCCCCTCAAAGGTCACAGCACCTTGCCATACGGTGAGTCCTAAGCGAACCGTTACTTTCTTAGTGGGCACTGGACAGTCACCGGCAAACGAGACCGAGCTCAGCTACAAGGAAAAAAAAGACATTGACCACGACAGCTGCTGACAGCTGCTTCCTTCACCACGACAAGGGCGACCTCAACCACGACAGGGGCGACCTCAACCACGACGACCAAACAGCGACCAAAACCCTACTCCACCTGCAGCCGGTCAGTGGTCAAATAAACGCGTGAAGCTGAAATGAGGGCGTCTAAGGCAAATAGGCAACCGTGAGGCCTTCCAAGCAACAAAGAGGTTCAAGCGTTGGCACGGTTTTGAGAAGCAAACACTGGGATGCAATGAAGCCGCTGGGAAACGATGAGGCTAAAGCCCGTAAGGCAACCCACAAAACGAAGAAGTTCAAGCCCATTGGACTCAAACGAAGAGATTGCCAGGCATGTTGGCTTCCGTACTTTATCGTGCTTTCATCCTCCGCCCGTCGGCCGGTCAACCGTGGAGAACGCTCTGCCCAATCCAAACTCCGCGAGTGGAGGCAGCTTGCATCCTCTTCCGCTCTCTTCTTCGGTGCGAGAGCTCGGCCTCCGGCGCAGGTCGTGGTCCAGCCCCGAGACCAATTGAGAAAACTCCAGATGTTTGATGTGCGCAATACGCTTTACTTATCTTGCGTGGGTACTGCATGTGCATACTTATGCGTGAAGTTTGCCTCAGCTCTTCTTGCATGGGCGCGGCGCTCCCCCTGGTTGAGCTATCAGTCAAGAAACTAGAGGACACCAACAAGCCTACGATAGACAAACTTCAGTTCTAGTCTCGCATAGTTGTACCTACGCCCCTATTTCCAACAGCCACGCTACACACTTTTGAGACCCATGGGCGCAAAGGTCCGTGACGGGAAACAGCCCTAAAAGGTAACTGTTATGCAGAAGATGCGCCACTCCAATCCATGCCAGGCAAAAGCCCCTCAAAACGCAGAGATTGAAGCCCGTGCGCACTGTTTTGAAGGGTGTTTGCCTGGAATGTTGGTTTCCCCCAGCTCCAGGCTCAAGTCTGGGTGCCCGGTCCCCGTTCGTCTGGATCTGGCAGCAGGTGGCCCCAGCTGCTGGCTGTTGCCAAACAGCGCTGCTTTCGGGGTAGGGTCCGCGGGGTCGTGGTTATGTACTTTCAGTCGGGGTTAATAACTTTAAAGCGTGGTTAAATACGTCTCCCAGCGAACCAGTTGCCCTGGCTGTGGTGACCTTGCCTGCGCAAGAAATGTTGAACATGTGCCTGAGGGAAGGGAGAGAAGGAGAGGGAGAGCTGTCAGATGAGCGTAAGCCATCTACGGAGCGGGGGGAGGGCAAGATCCATCACCCAAACCCAGCAACGGTGGTGAAAAGGTGGAGAGATTCCGAGAGAACAGTAGCAACAAGTTATTACCGATCAAAGCGAATCCATGGGTCCATACACAAAAAATCACATCCCCGCATCATCTCTGTACCCTTCACCAAATCACAAATGACCTCACTTAACTTCATCACATTACACATCCCCACAAGGCAACCACAATTCTACACTTCCTCTAGGTTTATCGTTTTGAAGCTTCCTAGAGGTGCTGCCGATGTCTCTCTGGTAGTATCGGCATAATGCTGCTGCTTCAATTCTCTTGCGCATTGTTGGCTGCTGAAAGACCCATTGCCAGCTGTCGAATCTTTGAAAGCTCATTTATGTACTGAGACTTTCTGGAGGCTTTGACAGCACCAAGCTCTCGAACCCTGCCTTTGACAAAGAGACAAAGAACACCGGGAACAGTAACATAGTAGCAGAGATGCAACAAAATCTGCCTCTTCACTTGCCTGTAGCTCATGCAACCCCCTGTCCTGGTCATGTCTATCTGCGGCCTCTGCCAACCTGGCATCTGAGAAATGCGAGAAATGCAAAATCTGCAGCAGATTTTCTGAAAAGGAAACACATACTTACAAAGAGTGAAAGGGCTTGTCATGGCTTGTCCTTCTGCCTGGCAACCCGGTCAATCTATTGGAGACTTTGAGCGTGAGACGGTCTGTGCAGATTCCGCACCGACGTTCAATGACACCATTGCTCGAGTTGCTTACTGTGTCCAGTGCTGCTGTGCAACTCTACAATTTACAACGAAACACCAAATTTAATTACAACTGATCGATTCCCAAACCTTCTCGTGTCATGCAAGAGTCAAAGCCATTCAAAGCCGAGTTGCCCATGGAGTGCAGAGATGGACGAGAGACAGCCTGCCTTCGGGAGAAAAGAGAAACCATGGGAGATTTGGGGTGCAAGTCATTTTGTGTTGATGGCAAGGTTCAGTCTCTAGGACCCCCAGGAACACCCATGTTGGACACCAAACAAGGCTTGATTCATCCACGACAAAAATTCATCTGGATCCGGATCTTTTTCATCAACTCACTGCTTGCGACCAGGTCCAAGAGGGGTGCCAAGTTCGGGCAGCGGTCCTGGCCAGCTGTTGTGATGATCTTGGAGAACACAGAGATTTACAAAGACGTCAAGGGACAAAGTAAAGCCTTCGTCAATGAATTCCTTGCAGTCCTTGGTGTCTTCTTCCATGCCCCAAACACAAACCTTGGCCAAAGGCTCCAAATGCTCAAGCACCACGTTTGCCTCGAGCGTCAACGCTCAAGCAGCGTCGGTGGTTGAGACAGGTACGCAGGGATTGGGATTGACCCGTGGGTGGTGTTGATGAGCAGAACGCTCCTAGTAGCGTCCTTGCTCCTAGTAGTACGGCCAGGAGCCCCTAGTAGCGTTCTTGTTACTAGTAGCGATGCCCTTTGCTCCAAGTAGAGTTCGATTTTATAGGTAGATTCATTCGGGATCTGGCGTGGTCTCATTGGATTGCCTGGGGCGGTCAGGTGGGCGTTTCAAGGGTGTTACACCGCAGTGGGCGCGGTTGGCGGTTCTTGGTTGGACTCATCACGGTCAAGAACTTTTCAGTGAAATCGAACTGATGGCTTTGGAAGGAGCAAGGACGCTACTAGGAGCAAAGGGCATCGCTACTAGTAACAAGAACGCTACTAGGGGCTCCTGGCCGTACTACTAGGAGCAACGACGCTACTAGGAGCATTCTAAGGTTCTTGGACTTGCGGTGGTTCTCTCTCCATATTGAGTTCTTGCTTCGGAGTACAGAGCGTAAAGGGTTGGGTGATGTCACATCCTTGGATTTTGAGAATACCCGGCCGTCGCTATCTTTGCTATCAAGTGAACAATCATTATTGGCACAACTGGTTTTCGGAAAACATCTCACGGCACAGTGGATGCTACAAAGCATTTTGGCGAAGGTCATGGGACATGTCCTAAGGTCATGGGATTTGCACTGATGATCGGGTGGGTAATGTGATCAAGTTGCAAAGACACTGCAAAACGCTTATGGGAGGGTCGCTGCCTATTGGCAAGCGATGTTTCATTTGGTTGCAGCTCGCTGCTCGGTGTCAGGTACGATGCTGTTTGCCTGGTGTGGAGGTTTTGTTTGGTACGTGGAGGTGGGGAGTAATTACAGTGTCTGAAGCACCAGGCTCTCCCGTGGTGAGCTTCATCTAGCTTTGTCACCTTGCTAACTTGGAACTTGCCAACTTGCATGTGTGGGAAAATAACCAAAGGCTGAAGAATCTCTTGCCGGGGTGGGCAAGGTGTCTGTGCGGTGCCTGTGACGGATTCAGGAGTGGCACTGGGTTCGGCTTTCGCGCTGCCGGGATGTGTGGGTCGGGTTGTTCGCTCGCCTCAGAATGTGCCTTTTTTGGTACGTGAAACTAGCCTGCAAAGGAACATGAACGAAATCTGAGCACGGGAGAGAAACTCTCACTGTGTGATTCCGGTGGGATCGCCATCATATTCGTTACTACTAGCTTCTTTGTTACTACTAGTAAGGCACCTGTTACTACTAGTAAGGCACTTGTTCCTAGTAGCGCCATCATATGGCTGAACAGCCCCTTTCATTTAGTAAAGCCGCTGCTTGCGAGGACATCCAATTCATCTTTTCCCCATGTAGATGGGCTCAGCGGTTGAGAGCATCTTGTGGCGTAAATTCTGTAACTTTTCTTTTCATCTACTTTCTCAATTTCCCCTCCGGTCAAACAAACACAAGTGCATGAAGGATGTCCCAACAGCTGAAACAACAGCAAAGCAAACGTGCAGGATTGAAAAACATACTGTACCAACTTGCAGTTTCCTGTCTGAGAGATACGGCCAAAGAAAAGGCCGCAGCAGCAGGTGGCCAGATGGTCACCCTTTCATGGAACACTACCACTGAAACTGTTCTCTTCCATGAAACCGCTGAATTTAAGATTACATTTATATACATGAACAGGCTCCCTTCCGCTTTCCAAAAGCCAAACAGCTTTCTGAGGTCCAAGATAGCATTTCTATCTCCAATTTGAGTCCAGGTTGCGCCATCTCCCGCTTCTCTGAAGTGGGTTAGGAGGCTGCAAATGCTCCGCTCTGGAAGTCCTTTCCTGTGTTGTCATTCAACTTTGCCAGGGAGGATGGTGGAGTACTCATGTTTGAAACGATCTGTATGCACGATGGGTGGATTTGTTTGTCTTGTTGTGAAAGGACATGCCAGGCAAAAGCTTGACTTTTCCATTTCCCTATTCTTCCTTGCATCGCTTAATGTTAAATGTTGCCTTGATAAATTACAACCTTTCAAACAGCTTGAAGCGCCACACTTGGCATTCAACTCTCCCTGCCTGGTCCGCTTCAACAAAAGCCATAGCAAAGTGGAGGCACAGCCTCAGTGGGAGCCACGATCAATACAAACAAACAAAAAAACTACATAATATGACATCCACCATTGCAAGCTCATTACTCACACGAGCCTGCCTTGCTCTTCATATGCACGTGAAAGTTCCAAAACAAATTCTTAACCAAACGTCATACCACTTCAGTCATTTTTCCCTGGTTCCCTCAGCTCACACAACATGCAGTTGCATCACAACCATGGATGGGTGAAACCTCAAGAGGAAAGTTGTAGAAAGAGCACGCTGAAATGAAGCGTTTCGGTTCCCAGCCACTTGCGGTGTTCCATTCCAAGACATTGGGCAATCTCCCCCCCGAGTAAAGAAACATCAACTTGCATTGTCATTTGATTCATGAATCCAGAACCTTTAATTGGCCTTCTTTAAAGAGCAATCTAGCGGAATTACTGACTGCAGGGAAAAAAACCATTGCCGTGCACCACCCAGGTCACAATGATCAGCCCGTCCGAGCAGCCGTAAACGTCGGTGTAGGGCCCCACGTCACCCTGCAAAAGCTCTGCTGCCTTGCAGTTGCCACATTGGGCAGCCCGCCCAGGGGGTGATGGGGTGAGACCTTTTCAGTGCAGTGTGGTAAGCCTCTGAAAGACATTCTATGCACTTCGAAAACTGCCAGCCCCTGGTGGAGCAGGACGAGAGCAAAACCGGACGAGTTCTATGAAGCAGGGAAGGGCTTAGCCGAAGCTATTGAGAAACAACATCAAGCCTCACGTTGAGACGCACTGTCATGGAAGGTGTCGAGATCGAATTGATGACACTCAGTGGGTGGACTGCATGCGGTGACCGCAGGCTGTTGGAAGGAGTGGATCCAATGATTTACAGTTTTACAGGAAGAGAAGAAGGGCCAAAGCCCAAGCCTTTGGCTCAGGGCTCCAATTCTGAAACGAAAAGGTGGAGGGTGCCGGCACCAGTGGGGATGGCCAATCAAGAAACGAAACACTACACTCATAGATTTACAATTTACAATATCTCAGAAGCAGAAACACGCCTTTCGAGGAGCCAAAAAGCTTGGAACCATCCGTGATGGAATTGCAAAGCTTCTTCAAACGTCTTCTCTCCTCTTGAAAAGGATAGCAGCGGGCAAATTATGGAACGGCACGCCCTAATTGAAAGGGCCCGGCAATTCAACATGCATTGATCATGGCATCAACAGTTCGCCTGAGACCTCTGTGCCAGCACATGTGAAAGCATATGAACCAGAAGAAATAAAGAAATACAGTAATGCAAATGTGGCCGAGGTTCGGAAAAGCTGCAGATTGACAAAGGTGAGTCAAGTCAATATGTTCAATCAATCATACCAAAATCGTTTAAGCATCTTTCTTCAACCTGTTGAAGCTTTGAAAATAGACCAGCACATGCTAGCAGCAGCCCAAAACTAAGCTAAGATCCACCATTGAACATATCGAAAAGAGAAAGTGCTTTTGACATTTCGTGCAAACTAACAACTTCAAGTAAACAAGGGTGACACTCCCGCAAGGCTTAGGTGCAAACTTCTAGCCAACCGTGACAACATAGCCTCAAAGTTTGAAACCAGGAAGGTCGAAAGTCTGCGGGATGTGTGGCGGTACGCATCAAGCATTTCATTCTCCTTATCCTACCAAAGGTTCTGGAACAATTTCCTTAGATTTTCTTGGTCCAACACAGGCGCACAGAAGAGAGATCTGGAGGCAACACTACCAAAACAGCATGTTGTCGGCGTGGTGCAGGTCCAACTGGACCACTTAGGGGCTGCAACCGTGAAACAGCATCAAGATCGACAAGCTGGGCAAACAGCCTTTGGAAAGCCAAACCCAGCAAAGTCAGTGAAGTTGTATTCAGCTGACATTCTCTTCTGGCTGCAAAGTTGATGCCATCGATGAAAGTAGAGAAGACGAGCAAAAGAGCTGTCACGGATGGGAAAGTCACCTGTGGCATTCCGACCAGGAGCAAGGCAGATTCTTCACTCTGACGGAGCAACATGTTACAAACGAATGGCGGCACTCACAGGGTCGAATTCCAAAAGAAGTACACACTTCCCCCAACACTAGTAACAAGTGCATCGCTATTCGTAACAAGGGCCTTGCCACTAGTTGCACATACACCAAGTGTGGCCTGGAAGTCACCACGGCGCTGGAGCTTTGGCGCCTTTCCGGCTGTGGAACAGGCCCAATCGACCAGGCAGCCCTGGCAGTCCCATGAGATCAACAATTCCTGGTCGCACTCAGTCTCGAGTCCAAGGAGCGAGTCGAAGTAGCTTCTTGTTACTAGTAGTGTCCTTGCTCCTAGTAACAGGTGCATCGCTAGTAGCAACAAGTGCCTTACTAGTAGTAACAAGAAGCTGTTAGTAAGAATGCTCCTAGTAGCGATGCCAGGAGCCCCTAGTAGCATCCTTGCTCCTAGTAGTAAGGCCAGGAGCCCCTAGTAGCTTCTTGTTACTAGTGTTGAATATGCTGGCATTTGCTGGCGCTGCACCATGTGGAGCGCTACTTATATAACTAGTAATGAGTCCGTATCCTGTAGGGCCAATCGCCAGCCCCACATCAAATCACATGTTCTGCCCTGCGTAAAGCGACCGCAGCAAGCTTTTCTGCGCAATCGGCTGCACAAGAAGTCCAGAAGTCAGAGAATGATTAAAGCATGCGCAACAATGTGCATAGCAAACCAAGGTTTCTGGAAGTGGCTTTGGAAAGGAAGTAAGCTGATAATTACATGCCAGCAAGCACGTCATGGAACTCCAGCTCCTTGAGTTGAAAATTCAGGAATGAACAGAAAACATCAGAAAACAGATCTTCACAGAGTTCATTCGAGCTACATGCCTTCAATCAACATGGAAAAACGACAGATCACTCACCTTTGCCGAAGAACGAGCATGCATAAGGGCAGTGACAGGAATCAATCTTTTACCTTGAGTCGTGCATTTTTGCAGTTCGTTGTCTTCAACTCTGACCTTCAGGCACCTCAAAGCAATCTGGAGACCTCCCTGCACACACACAGAATAGCCTGCTGCAGAAGGAATTCAAGGCATCTCGCAAGCAAGAGTCCAAGCATTGCAAGGGGGAGGTGTTGTGAGGCAGGGCAAATCTATTTCCGAGAAGAATGTCCGTAATAACATCACACATGAACAGCAAAGCTGCACACATGAACGTCACACATGAACAACACACCTTGCAGGTACAGGCATACACTGAAGTAGAGCAGGGGGGGCCGCAAAAGCCAAAAGCCCCTCCAAAAGCTGCCAGCAGCCAAGTGTTGCGAAAGCCAAACCGCATAACTGCCACAAAGTCACAAAAGCAAAGACAAACACCAAAAGTGCCAAGGAAAGAGATTCTACAGTATATGTTTCTATTCAAATCCTTTGCAGTCATTCCCCTCCAATGATTCCCTCCCAAGAAAAGCGTGAAAGAACTGGATATCGGACACCTCAGGTAGGTCCTGTGGGTGAACATTTCGCGTGACACCATCCGGACAGTTCACGTAGCTTCAAATGCTGGGCGCTGGCTTACCCCTTCTCCGAACAGTCCTTGCTGGCAGCGAGCTCCTCCTGGACACAGTTCTAAAAGCTGTGTCTGTGTCGTGTCGATTGTATCTCAAGATCTCCCGACAAAAAAACTTGAAAACACTGGATAGTGGGCTCCTTGCAGCACAGCACATTCCATGGATTCACATCGCAGTGGAACACACCATTCCTGGCCAGTCGCGATGAAAGCGAGCCGGCTTCGTGCCACCCTGCTGCAAGTGGTTTTCTTGGACAGAAATCATAAGCTGCTCAGAGTATCAGGCTTTCCCTCGCAACCAACCAGGAACGGCTATCTGGGCACAAAGGTGTCAGCAAGTAGCCATCTATTACCGACCTTGACATGGGCAAAGTGTGAGGGGGTTGTAAGACGAAGATTCTCCCGCGTGGTGGTCGCAAGGCAAAGGCAAACACAAACAAGAGCGGATTATGCTCGGCTTCGGTCTTGAGCTTCCCTTCCCTTATGCTACGTAGAAAGCGGGTCCGTAGAAAGCACTCTTGTTAGCAAAGGACCTAAACGGCCTAAGGCAGCGGAGCGCTTGAAAGGCCTCATGTCTTGGATCTAACTCCAACCTGCTAAGAAGAAAAGAACAACAATAAATGATTCGTTATAAAGACATCTCCTCTTTCTTGCTTTTTCTTTCTACCTCTGTCTACCACTTTTCTTTCCTTTTGGCTACCACCTAGAGAGGGACCCCGTAGAGAGAAGAGGGTGCTTCGGAAGCTTCTCGGCCAAGAGCCGGAATCGTTTCACCATGTTTCACCTGGGATCGTAGCCTTAAGAAGCTTTTGTTAGTATGTCTTTGATGGCTACTAGAAGCTTATTAGTAAAAAGACCTTTCTTTCTTTTCTCTTCATTTCTTTCTTTCTTTCTTTCATGGCAACAAGAACACCATCGTGGCCTGTTCGCTTCCTCCACAGCTTTGGCCACATGGTGCCAGCAACGCACCGCGCGGGCCAGGCTCTCACATGGTTTGGCCAAGGCCGGCACAAGTCCTGGCTTCGCATGGGGCAACGAAGTTCTTCCAAGGAATTCGGTGCATTGCTAAGTAAAGGTCAGGCGTAAGGCATTTTGGCATAGCAAAGGGTCTTTCCTCTAGGTTGCAATGGCTAGCTGCTAGCAACTCACGAGGAGTGAGTGTAACCACTTAACACAGAATTCAAGAGTTGTGATCGCATGGCTACTAGGAGCAAGGACGCTACTAGGGGCTCCTGGCCTTACTAGGAGCAAGAAGCTACTAGGGGCTCCTGGCATCGCTACTAGGAGCAAGGACGCTACTAGGGCCATCTTTCATGGGAAGCACTATGAAGTGCTTGGACATGCTGGCAAAACCAGGCCAGAGGCGGGAGCTCTTTTCATGCTCTTTCGACACAAGTTGTTGGGCGAGAACAGATTTGGGCTTAGTGTGTTCTGCCTTTGGATGAGATAAACCCACCACCCAGCCCCTGTACACGACTAAATTTACAAGGAGATATTTGGAGCTCTTGGAGCGGCTGTGGCGTTTTTGGATGAAAAGACTGCCTGGCCTGCATCTGGCAATGGGACGCCTGGAATGTAACCTTGAGAAACAGACCGAAGAAATTGAAAGTGGATTGATGCCTCCTTCCAGTCCAAAAGAGCAATTCGTACGAATCTTCTTTTGTTGCTGCCAGTCTCCTTTTTTGAGTTTCCTCACGGATTCAGCAATAATTCTTCTGTCAGCACGAAGGCATCCACTTTTTCTATGATGCACGGCTTTGCCAAAGCTGCCACAGCTGATCTGGCAAATCCTCTAAGAGAGTCGTTTTTGTCAAGTGGCCTTAGATGTCTGCCCAAGGTACTAAGGCAACATGTTCGTGTATCTTGCAACACATGCTGCTTGCTTCAAACTACCAGCCACAGGTGAATCTCCTCATGAATTTGCAATGCCAGACACTCTAAAAAGGCGTATGGAATTTTAACTTTTATGGCGTTTATGGAAACTCAGAACTGTTTAATGTTTGAGGCGATTAAGTTGGAAACTAAGCCTCGGACAATTGTGTCCTGTCCAGGCCAATGCCGAGATGACCAGCAGAATAGGGCACCTTGTTCGGGCTTCCAGACTATGTCCACTTTGGAGTCCACTTGTCTCAAACATCTTTTTCCATGGTAGAGACCTTGTCACAACCAGTGTTCTGGGCTTTGAATTGGACATCACATACATACATATATTGCAATTTGTATGATGGTCTTGCCGGATCTGCAAAGAACTTGACGACTGCCGTTGAGGCTAAGGTGCTGGTCATGGTCTGAGTACACCAGCAAAGCCATCAAGGCTACCTGCGAGACATCCATGAGAAAGAAACGGGGACGGTTTGCCACACTAAACAAGTCTCCGCAGAAAACATATCACATGACAGGGTCCTCTCCTGTGAAGAATCTGACAACTGTTGAAGAACCAAATACCCATTACACCAACACCGTTGCCTGCTTCTTTGGACCTTGTCATGTGACAGCACAGCAAACGTGGACGCCTAAAAAGTGTTCGAAGCGCCAAAACAACGGGGAAACAAAAACACCACTTGGCGCAGCTCCTTTGTCATGACGGGAACCAAGTGGAGGAAGTCTAAGAAAGGAAGCACCACCAAGTCCAAGACCATCGGAAGTGCACATACCTTCAGAGAGCGAGTCGGAACAAGAACGCTACTAGAGGCTCCTGGCATCGCTATTAGGAACAAGAACGCTACTAGGAACAAGTGCATCGCTTCTAGTAACAAGTG